ACAACAGATCAGAGCTACGCCGGATGAGAAGTCATCGACAAATAAGGCCTTGACAGAACGCACCGCCAACTCAAGACATGCTCTCTTTCACTTCACAGAACGATATGAACATGCAACTTCAGAAACAAACATAAAGGAGCTGAATAGAACCAGTCGTTTGATATCAAAGCCTTGTTCCTTGTTTCACAGATCAAATGGGGTCCTTGCCTATTTGATTCACCTTCAGTCACATTTGANAACAAGCTCCAGAATAGAATTTGAAATCCTTCTCACATGCAAAACTCACAATGACCTCATAGCACCATGTCATCTCAGCTGAAGGCTTTATTCTCAGAGTGTCGGCCTCCCTGTGATTCATACATTTTCGAAACACAAAACAGCAGGTAGAACCTTCAGTTATCAGGCTCTTCTGTTGTGGAATCAGCTCCAATTTTGAGCTAGAGAGGCAGAGACCTTCTCTACTTTGAAGATTAGGGTTTCCTCTTTGATAAAGCTTTCAGTTCGGGCTGCTTAGATTCACCTCAGTTATAGTGCTATAGCCTGGACTACTAGGACGTCCCATGATGCACTGAGCGCCTCTCCTCACTGTCTCTCTCCATACATTTGCATGTCATGAAAATTCTCCCTCTCAAGTGTGTGTTTTGTCTTCTCTGTCCACTCTCCTTGTATCTGTCTGCAGGTATTTCTGGCAAGTTTCTGATTTGCAGTTAACAGCCTCACGCTCAGTGTCTCTTGTTGTTTAGTTTGTTGTCTGTTGCTTCACTCTGCTTGTCTTTTCTCTCTCTCCTCACCACAGCCGACCAAGGCAGACCTTTCTTGACCCTGATTCTGTTGGAGGTTTGGTTGGACATTAAGGCAAAGAGGGAAAGCACTCTGGTTCGTTCTAATCAGACATATCTCTGTTTAATGTGACAGTTGTGGTTCTATGACTCATGTTAACTTTGCGCTCTCCACCTCCATTGCAGAGGTTCAGCGGTTTATCAGGGCAACAAGTGCGAGCTCCCTGCAGCTTTAAAAAAAAACAGAAATCATTTGAAACTTTTCATTCTGATTGGAATAAACAGAAATAGGCCACCAGCAACAGGCCCTTTGTTAACTGCATTATGGGGGGACACTACGGTTTGTTTGCATGTGTGAGGCTATGGATGGTTACATTTAGTCTGTGTTTATGCTTGAGAAGTTGTAGCAAACAAGATAAAAGTCTGCAGGGAGCTCACACCGGTGACCCCAGCATGCAGTAAGATGTTTCTTAGTTCCACAATGTTAACAACAGAGGTGAAGAATGCAAAGTTAGCACGTCCCATAGAGACACAATGGTGACATTAATGGCAATTAAACCGGATTTATCTTGTA